CCACTTTCAATATCAGTTATCAATTCTCATTGACCCTGCCCGACAGTCACCACCATCGCCATCAGTAAGGACACAAATATGATCTTTCTCTTAGATATGAACACAAGGCAAAGATCAAAACCAGCACAAAGAAGCTTTAAAGCGATCACAAACAGGAGGCTGCAGACTGACTGCTCATCAGTCTGTCATCAGACAGTCCCTGTTGAAGTTCAGAGTCTGGCTGCTAGGCTGGGGTCAGGATTCATTCAGCTAACATCACTCTGGGTTCTTGGCTAGCTTAGCATTAGCATGCTATCTGTGCAGGTGCCTGCAAAGAGCTGAAGTTGTGTTAACAGCATAATGCAATTGTTTCTGTCCTGGATGCAGTATGCACTTTACTATGGCACTGTCATAATAAAGTGCAAAACCCCCCAAAAACGTCTATACTATATTTATTTACTACTTAAATATTTATTTATGCACATGGATTTAATTATTGGGGCCAAAGCGCTCACCGTGTGACAATCCTTGTACGTGCTCGACCGTGTGTGCACCTCTTGACCTTTGTAACCTGGCGCAGCTGGATTGAAGATGCGAGTGTAGGATCATCTTTTTTACCCCCATTTTAATGACATCACACCCAGAAATGTGACTCCTTGTAAAACCACAACATTTTGGTTTTTTTTGTTTATAGTATTTTTTTTATTTACATTACATTCATTCTGATAGAAATAGAAAGGTAAAAAAAACAGAAAAACAGAGATTCGGTAAGACAAAGGAGTAAGGTGAAGGTGACTTTTATTAAGATGCACATTTTAGAAAAAAGAAATTTCAGAAGTCCCGGCTTCAGAAATATTTTACTGGGAATGAAATGATGATTGATGGTGTCACATTTTAAATCTAACCACAGTTGTACAAAGCTAGCTGTTGTCTTCAAGGACCCAGTCTTTATGCTAAGCTAAGCTAATCAGCTGTAATATGTTTAACATAATTGTGAATTATAAAGTATCCCTCACTTGCGTTTGTTTTTTCCACACCACAGATTCAGAAAAACCTCCAGAAACTCCTGGAGGAGACTTAAAAGAAGACTGTGGTCTGTTGTAGTGTCCACACAGAAGAGCGAGTGCTGTGTAGAAGAGATCGTGCTTGAGCTGTGCAGATCAGCCGTGATCAGATTTGGTCATAACTCTCTTGCCAAAGCATGGACAGCTCATACACAAAGCATTCTTTAGACTGTGTGAAGTGAAATTGTGCAATAATGGCTTCTTTCCCTTTTGCACTCAGGACTATTTGATCACTTTTTTTTTAAACAGAAAGCTGTGCTGAAGCAGTGTGCTAGTTTGCTAGTGGTAGTGTTAGCGAAGTGACTATGTTTTATTTATTTAGTAGCTTTCATGTTACATTTCACAGTAGTAAGATTGTTAATAAGTTGTCAGGTCCAAAGGTTCTATTTCATGTCAAGGTCAATGTTTTTGTCAGCAGTAAAATGTCAGTAAGTTATATTTTTATCGTGCTTATGACTCACTCATCAAAAGATTCTTATGGTGTGTTGTCAACAGATATGTATAAATATACACTTTGCTTTGTGAAATCACACAACAGTAAGAGCAAATAAGAGTTTAAAATATATTTTTATTGTAAGTGTGGAAGTTATACTTTTCATACGAACCAACTGCTGTTTCATTCAGATGCAACTGTATAGTTTCTCAAACCTAGCAGGGTGTACTGCATTTACCCTGTTCCCATTCACTTTGTTTGTGTGTATGAAAAACAAAAAAAAATTGTGTTTAACTTTAGTTGTGACCCTTCAGATCACAGCTTGTGCCTTTGTGATTGTATCACAGCTCTAAAATAAACGGTTTTTCATGAAGTGTTTCTTGAAACTGGCGTTAACAGTTTTTGTACTTAGGAGCACCAGGTTACATAAGGCTGATCGCTCAGCCAGGTGACGCGCCTGCAGACCACAGACAAATGGATGCAAACAGCACCGATGTAACCTAAGAACATGATGACTGGCCTGCTCACAGCAGTGAAAGAAGAACTCTCTTTACTACAGTGTACAATAACACTTTGCCACAAATAAAAGACTAATGTGTGCGCTTTTTGCGCTTGTTTTTGTTGTAATTTTTCCCCTACAGTGTTTTTATTGGGTGACAGGTAAAGGTAGACCAGTTTGGGATGGATTAATACATGGAGAAAGTGATTTGGAAATGGCTTCTTGACATAAGCTACACCTTGCCTGAAAAAGACGTCATCTGGATGGCAACGTGTCACTCCAAAATTCCCATCTTCAACAAGCTCGGCCTCAGAAAACATATTGATCTTGTTTTTTTAATCTTTGCATTGAATGTTATCTTGCATTTGTGAACTGCTGTTCAGTCACACTTCAGTACAGTTCAGTAATGGTGCTCAGCATTGTCCTTGTGTAGTTTTCTCTGATTTCAATTCAGAACATTATGCACCATAATCGTTGATAATACCACATTCTTTGTAATTTTATGTTGAGAAATGTTATCCAGAAATTGTTGGAATCACACACACCTTGTTGCTACAGCAGCGTGGCTTTTCATTAATAGCCTAAAACACTTTGGTTGCAGCAGAAAGACGATAAAGATGTAATTTCATGACACAAATAAGTGACGCACATTTAAAACTGAAACATAGTTCAAACTGTTCTGATGAGGATGCTGCTGTGACTTATAAAGTGTCCTCTTATTTTTATTTGTTCTCTAAATAGTGTCACCAACATTAGCTACCCCAAATCACTAGAGATTATCAGTTCATTTTAACATTCCAGATGACAGCAAGTCAAAATTATGTTACCTGTCCAGCAGCAGCCTACATTAAGCTTTAATATTGCTGTAAACTGAAATGGATCAGTGTATGCCTTTTACTCACTGTTATGTTTAAGTTTTGGGTAACGGCACAAAGACTGAGAGAGGAGGATAGAGAGGGAGAGAGTAGGATGGACACAGTAAAGAGAGAGCAAAAAGAAACAGGTAAGAGTGGACTTGTGGTCAAATTCACCAAAATGATGTATATAGGCCTTTGTATGCCTCTTTAAAATGTGTGACATTTAAGGGATCTTTATTGTGTGATTGAAATTAAAATTGTCCTTAAGGTAAGTTTACTCAGTTACAACAATAAAGTACAAATTCAGTTCCATTCAGTTTTATTTATATAGCGCCGAATCCCAACAACAGTGACCTCATGACATGGTATATTATAAGGTAAAGACCCTACAACAATAGAGATAAAATCCCAAGAATCAGATGACCCTCCGTGAGCACTTGGCAACAGTGGGAAGGGAAAACTCCCTTTTCACAGGAAGAAACCTCGGGCTCAGAGGTGGCTACCATCTGTCGTGACTGGTTGGGTGTGAGGGGAGAAAGACAAGACGAAAGACACACTGTGGATGAGAGCCAGAGTTATATTAATAACTAATGATTAAATGCAAAGTGGTGTGTAAATACATGGAGGGTGAAAATATATACATGTTTCAGTATAAAGTCATCATGTAAATGAACGAAACATTACTTTAAAAAGAGCATTTACAGTGCAGTATTCAGTTACAAAATGGGTGACTTTCAGTATTTGTACTTCATTCCCTACTTTGCGTTGTACTTTGTAGAAAGAAAAAAAACCTTGAGCAGCTCAACATGCTAATCACACTAATGCATGTACTTAGTCATTCAACTACTGTAACGCTGTAGTTTATTTTAGGGCTTAATGAAGATTTAAATACAACCACAATTGTAAACTGGAGGAAGTAATGCAAAAAAGGACTTTAAATATACAAATATACATACATAGCCAACATAAAACATAAAGATGCTAAATTACACACAAGAAGAGTGAGCGCGGTGTGCATCTCTAATGGGCCCAATATAGGCCATGAAAAGCGCAGCCGACACCAGTGTATGGTTTTTAAAGCAAATTTAATGATATATCAGTACAGATGCTCAGAAATGATAGAAATACATATGTTGAAACAGACTGAAAAAAAATGGTTGTCAGGAAAAAAAACTCTTAAAAAATTCGCGATTTTTTTTGCTTCCGGTTTTCACCTCCTATTTCAATTGAATTTTATTTATACAGCGTCAAATCACGACAACAGGCGCCTCAAGGCGCTTTATATGATAAGGTAGACTACAATAATACATAAAGAGAAAAAACACAACAGTCATATGACCCCCACCCCCTCCCCTCCGCCATGAACAAACACGCACAGTGTTGCCAACTCCTCAGTAAGGAAAATCGCTATTGGCTGTCCTAAAAGTCGCTAGAAGTCGCTAAATGACGTCATCATCTAATTTGCATAATTGGTCATGCTAATGTAATTGTAACCTACGCTGCTGGAGAGAGAAATAACATCGTGGACGAGACATAAAGTGAGCAAAAACGTCCTAAATGCATTTAGAATTTATTTAGAACTACAAATTAAATTTCTTTTAGCAATTATTGTTTTTTGTAATGTCACAATTCCAACCCTGCTCCTTTACCCGGGCTTGGACCGGCAAAAGTGACCCGAAATAGGCGCTCTGGTGGAGTTACTTTGTGTGTGTGTGTTTATAAGTAGTTTTAAACCTGATCCACAAAACAGCATAAGAGTAAAAGAACTGACTGCGTTACAGCACCCGCTGCTTGTTGAGAGTAAAAGCGATCTGCGCTTTCACGTCTTTTTTTAGCGACTTTTTTTCTAAAAAAGAGTCACTAGGGGGTCTGAAAACTCGCTAAATATAGCGACAAAGTCACTAAGTTGGCAACACCGCACGCACACCAGCGCTTTTGTGGCGGTTGTGTCTAAACAGCGACACCTGCCGTTCACGAGAATACTGCAGGGAGTACTCGCGCCCTCAGCTCTGGAATAAATGGTACCGACGTCACTGTTTGCGGCCAGTGTAAACGGGCCCATTACATTACAGTCTCCGGCAGCAGAGCAGCCCGCCTCCTCTGGATTGTGGACCAATGACTCGGACGCCTCTACATCTCGTCTGCCTCTCAACCCGCGTTCAGCCCCTCGCATGACGTAACGCCCAATCTGAAAGTGCAATGGCGATATTGGACAATAACAGCCATCGCGCTTGGGGTCCACATCTATATTATGTGGCTAAGGTTCAAGAAAACACCTCCAGCCGGCTGCAAAACCACATATAATATCGGCACAGAGCGCGAGCGTCAACCTGCGACCAGGAAAGGTGATCTCCCAGCCTCTGCACGCGATGACAGCTTAGAATAAATCGCTGGTGAGTCCAAACTCTGCTGATTGCAACAGCATTCGCCAAAGGAAAAAAGGCTTTTCCAGTAAATGGTCTCTTGCAGGCAGCAAGCCTGAGATTTCAAAGGGGCGTGGCGGTATGCTGGGTACTACTTCTGACTAACGGATGCTGATAGCTTAGCAACAGCGACGGGGAAGGAGAGCAGAGACAATGGATGTGCCATTTGTCAGCATCGTTACTGGGCAGGTTGAGCTGAGCGCGTGTTTGCTGGACTAGAGAGAGAGACACGATCCTCGCCACTTTGTTCCAAGTGAGCAGCAAGGAGCCGTGGATGCAGAGTGGAAATGTAAACAAAGGGTGTGGGCCTTCCAGCTGGCCTGTGATGCTCTGCCACACACATGAGCATCATGTAGTCATGTCAAGAAGAAGGCCAGCCAGCACTGGATCACAGCTGCTCCAGAGCCCCGGAAACCCAGGGGTCCCAAACATTATACTGGGTCTCTGCAATAGTTTTCAAGCTGCCAGCTTTTATTTGCCGTGCTGGATTGCTTTTCTATTGTTGAGCAAGCTATTTTAAATTTCATTGCCTTGGACTTAAGGACAGTCTAAAACGATTTTCACTATTTTTGACATTTTATAGATCAAACAGCAATGCTTCCTTCATTTTAAATAGCTTTAATAGCCGTGCAAACATCAGTAAGCCATAGTTAACACTGCATTAATTAGTTTATCTGAATTCAAAAGTACAACATTAAAGTTATATTTGTATTGTTTAATAGCAAAGCCACTGAAATACGCTCACATCATAAAACTCTTCAGATTGTTTGGTTACAATAATTCTTGTCCCTGCGTCCACCAAACTTTTAGGTCAATGAGTTAAAATCCTAAGATTTTATATATATCTTATTGTGCTTGGAATAAAAATAAAACAATGTTTCCATCCATCCACCTGTTCATTCCTCTTTTTATCCATCCACTGGATTGGTTGGGCTTAAGTCTACCTCACCCATCATATAGCAAGAAGTAGGATACACCCTGGACAGGTTGCCCGTCTGTCGCAGGGGGAACGCAGACAATCACTTACATTTACTGCTGATTTAGTTAACCCTGTATTGTGACTGTGGCAGTACACCACTGACTGAACACACTGAACCCACACAGAGAGAGGACCTTATGAGGTGATGGTGCCAACCACTGTGCTGCCCTGAAAGACACGTTTATTACTTAAAAGTAACAACAGCACCCACAGTATAAAGGTAACAAAGTAACATCCATGTAAATGCCATTGTATTCCAATGAGAAAACTTCTATTAGTCACTTGGCCTGTCAGGTGGTTTTAAATTTGTGGCTAATCAAAAGGATAATGAATGTGAATATAAAGGCATGGGTTAAATACCAACCAGAAAATGCAATCCTGGACTTTTAATGGCCATATGAATATTGAAACTTGGTTTTTAAGATGTAGAGTATTGGTTCCCTTTTGGGTGTGATTAAAAAAAACAATGACAATCCAAATGGACTCTGAAACTGTTGCACCTCCCAGGCTTGACATTTCACTTGTTTCCTAGGTGTGACGTGTGAACAGACACCATGGCCACACAGGAACCGTCCCCTCCTTCATCCATGGAGAGCAATAAGCCCGGCTTCCCCAAGAAGATCCTGGGCAACAAGCTGGAGGACAAACACCTGTGCAACTGCTGCCACAATATCCTCAGACGGCCTTTCCAAGCCCAGTGTGGACATCGCTTCTGTTCCTACTGCTTTAACAGGACTGTGAGGTGAGGAGTGGAATGGCCAAAGGCTAAAATAAGTGCTTTGGAAGTGATTGTAAATATTTAGATTTAAAAAAAAAAAAAAACTTTAATCATTTAATTTATAGTAATGTTGTTCATTCTCCTTTGTTCAGTTTCAGGGAGCTGCTTTTAGCTTTTAGAGCTTCTATCGGGCTAAGAGAAATGAAAAAGTTAATTACTACTTAAATGATTCTAATCCAGCACTATTTAATTCCAGCAGTAATTAGCGCTCAACTGGTAATAAATTAGTGCTTACACTGGATTAGTGTTATTAGTGTCCCACTGAAGTGGGAGACTGATGTGTCACTGATTCTTTGTGTGTTGCTTATTCTTTGTCAAAAGCTGTAAAACCACATTGTTAGCGGTTCGATATTTTTTGAGTGGATCTCTTTGCTTTGACACCATTGATGCATCTCTGTAAAATATCTTCGATGACAGAGACTTGATCATATTTGGATGAGGGCGTGGAGCTGAAAGTAATCAGCTGAAGCTAACGAGCTTGATTTGCAGTGTTCTTCCATAGACTGGATGGGTCGGCTGTAGGACAGAATCCTGCCTAACATGGCATAAAATGCTAGATTTTTACTCATGAGCCCAGTGGACAGAATGTTAGCATAAATAACCATGAACTGACTCTATTACTGTTCTGATAAAGTACATTAAAAAATGCACCAAAAGCACAAACATGATCGGGAGCTGCTAATATTATTTATATCTTTAAAGTGCGTGTAAATCAGCAGCTAAATCTTTAACTCATAATTTAAGTTGTCATTGCATATATCAGTAGCATAAATTATTGGCTATGTTGTTGTTTAATTGCAGTAATGGACCTCAGAAATGCAATGCTTGCATCAAAGAGGATATTTTTGAGGACCCTACCTCGATTTTAAAACAAGGATGTGTGAGTACTCTTTTTCGATTACTTTTTAAAAAATTTAACGAATCACCTTGATTTGAATCGGTGAAAGATTAAAAGAAACAGAGCAGAAAACAAGCTCCTGAAGTTAAAATATGTCTGACGTGAGCTCTGCGTGTTGCCCTGTTTACATCATGTGCAGTCTGTGCAGTAGTAACAGCAGCGTGGTGATGCTGGTGATTATGAGTTTCAGCTACTGCTTAGATAATATAATCATCACCAAATCATATCATATGTAAACTTACAGTAAAGTAACTGCATGTGTTGAATGTGCAGCTTTTCTGACACTGATGAACCCAGCAGCTGGACATGCGTTTCACAGATGCAGCTCAACAGCAGATCCCTTTTTATTTTCTCTCGTTTTTTTCAGGCTTTTCCAGACAACGCGGTTCGAAGGGAAGTTGAAAATCTGCCAGCTGTTTGTATCAATGAAAACTGCACTTGGAAAGGAAGTATAAAGGAGTACGAGGTGAGGCGACTTTATTTCCTTCACTTGTTTTTCAGTAACCAGGTAGCCTAATGTTTTGTCTTTGTCACTTTGAAACGCTCGCTAGCCCCGCCTTGCATGGAGAGTACTGTGTGCATGAGACAAAGCCTTTCCAGCCTTGGCGCTCTTCTTGAGCAACCATAATCTGGATTGCAAACAGATGTTTAACAGAGTTTCTACAGCAGCCTGTGGGAGGTGGAAATGAGGCTGGTGCATTTATGAAACGGTGTAAAGGAGGCATTTGGATAATCTGGGAATGTGCAAACGGAGCAGATATTTCTACTGCTTTCAAGAAGTGGGAGGAAAAATCGATAAAGCATAGTATCACAAATTGTGACATTGCATCAATACAGGGACACCAAATTTTTTGATTAAATAAATAAATAAAAAAAAACCCAGAAATACTACGAACAAGAGGACTCATCTCATGCACCATCAACGTTAGCCGAGCAATCTTACATTAAGTCAACTCAGCCAACAACAACACTGGAATCACTCAGCTTGACAAAGCTACCAATGCTCTTAATACATAGCAAGCTGGTGGCTCAGTCATGTGAGTAAAAATAGGACAGCAACCTCCTTGCATAAAAAAACAAAACAAAAAACTTGTACTGACTAAGCAGTTACCCAGAGCTTGCAGGTGCTGAACACTTACGAGCACTTTTGATTGCAAGGCCATTGCACAGGCCACCTGATAGCAGGCAACCTTTCTGCAAACAGTTACAGTCTGACTTGGACTGATTACAGTCACTCAGAGATTGTCGAAGGTTTGCAAATAATTGCTGTCTATTTATATAAAGGCAGATTGCCAACATGTTGCCATCAGTCTGAATGAGGCTACGTCCACACGTACCCGGGTATTTTTGAAAACGCAGATTTTTCTATGCGTTTGCACCTTTCGTCCACACGGAAACGGCGTTTTTGGTCACTGAAAACGGATATTTTTGAAAACTCAGAAAACGCAGCGTCAAAGGTGTGCGCATTTTTTGACGTCACACTGTGCCCCAAGTTATTGTTTTGGTGAAATGAATTTCTACAATACTATTAATGTTAATTGTACTCTCTGCAGTGTTTAAATGCTTACATATACACACACAGTTACTGTCCCTCTACACATACGACTCGGTTCTGCTTCTATGCCCCAGCTTTGTTTACTTTTTCCCACCGAGGCTTCTAGACTTCTGATTGGCCAACATTTCTACACGGTTAGGAATATATCGCCACCTGTTGCTTTGGCATGTTCCTAGCAGCGTTTTCCTTTATTTCTGCCTTTACGTGTGGACGGGATTATTTTTTAAAACGGAAAATATCCGTTTTCAAAAACACCCATGTACGTGTGGACGTAGCCTGAGTCAACAAGCACAACTTAAAGGGACTCGACTCAACTGGTTGTATTCTGGTTATGGTTTTAGAAAATCATAGAATCATGGGGTTTGCGGTCATTTCCATGTGTGCTGTTTTCCACAGCATAGAATGAAAACAAAGACATCAACACTATAAAATAACAAAAATAAAACCTGCTGTACAGAGCGCGTAGTGTAAAAATGTACACAGAGCAAAATGTGTGTCATATTTTACTTTGCACACATTCCCAGACTTGTGACAGAATCACAAGTAGTGACATTTAGTGGACTTTCTTGCCCTCTTGGTGCATTTGAAACCATCAGCTGGTTTGTTTGGGTGTTGCAGGCAGGTTCCAGTAGACTACCTCGCAGCTGTGGATGAAGTTCAATGGGAATAATGGCCACGGTGCAAATAAAACTTGTACAGCTTGTTGTTTAGATTTGAAAAACAGCACAATCAAGTTAAACAACTTAAATCCAGTCTCCTCCGTATCACATGTCCAGCAGCTGCCTTTAGACAAATGCATACATTAGATAAACATATCGCTGCCACACTTCCTGTCTTTATATCTACCAGTTTCTTTGTGGGAAATTGTGTTTGCATGTTTTTCTTTGGTCTCTGGGGGCCGTAACATCTGCAGCTGTTGTTCTCCTTCTTGTGGCTGAAGATGGTTCTTTATAGCTATGGTTTTTACCTTTGGACTCATCGTCCTGTTACAGAATGGTACTGTTGCGTGAAGGATAAGACTCTAAACATCTAACATTGTTAAAGCTACAGTGCTGTTCTTTTTGTAGACAAATAAGCCTCCCAGCGCAGCACAGAGGTTACCATTCTGCCACAGCACCTCAGCATAAGCTCCCACTTTCCACAGATGAACCACGGGGGGAAATGCGAGTTCATGATCATCCCCTGCCCTTCCTGCAAAGAACGAATCCGCTTCAATGAACAGGAGCGCCATAATGAGCGAGAGTGCCCTGAGAGGACGCTCAACTGCAAGTACTGCAAGGAGCCGTTCCACTTTAAGAATATCAAGGTTGGAAATGATTTATTTAGACCAAAGATGCTCGTCGGGGCCTGTGCGGCAGATCAGAGCAGCTATTTGTGTGGCATTAAAAGAAACGCTGCTGCCTTTTCGTTTTTTTCAGGCTCATGATGAGATCTGCCCCAAGTACCCGATGATCTGTGAAGGCTGTGCCAAGAAGAAAATACCCAGAGAAAAGGTAAATCTGAGACCAACGTGCAGAAAAGGTGGAAGCATTATGTTGTAAAACTGACCATAGGCCATGTAGCTGCTGTACACGCTCTCTTTTTCACTAATCAAATGTGATGGCAGAGAGTATGCAACTGAGCTTCTGAAAATAATGAATGCACTTTGTCATGTTTATTTATGTTTAATAAAAAAGAAACTGAAGATATTCAGACTAAAATGAGCAAACAAATTTGAAGATGCAATATGTAAAATGTCACAAGATACAAAGTAACAAATATAAGAAGAAAAAGGCACAACTGATTCATCACTCGCTGTTAATACACAGCAGATGGAAAATCATTTATATCGATTGTTAGAAATTGACTATTTTATTTCTTTTGTTTCCCAGTATGTGGACCATATCAAATTCTGCAGCAAATTCAGAACTCCATGTCGATTTCATGTGGTGGGATGCGATATGTCTGTAAGTAGCCCGATTGTTTTCTCAATAACGAATTCAGTATTTGAGCACACAGTCAGCTACGAGACTATAGGAGCGAAAACATCATCTGAACCAAGACGAGGAGGAGTGAGGAGGTATCTTTTTTCCAGTGACTGTATATAAAAGATGAACAGAGCCACTGTGATGTCACAACTTGGTTTGTAGACTATTGATTTGAAACTTTGAGCATTAAGGATGGCCATCCTGCTTAGTTCTTTAAAAACACAAGTGCTAGTTAGCCAGTTTGGTTAGCAGTGTTATTCGTTGTAATGTTTGGGATTGAAATTGTTATTGGAAAAACTATCGTGGCCTTGAGAAGTCACTGCAACTTAGGAAAACACCAGCAAATAGAAAACCGCCACAAAAACACACAAAACACAGTGGAAGTTGAAAAAAATGCTGCTAATACTCAACAGGACAAGCTAGTAAACGGCTAATAGTAGACAGTAGACTATTATATGTTCTTAGTGAGAGATTGTATGTTTTGAATTAAAAAAATAAAAACAGGAGTTTACAATACATTGGTGGAAATGAATCATGTTACATTAAATATGACTTGAAATGAGCAACAAATGAGTTAAGACTATGTTAGATTTACTGTTCTCCTTTACTTCAGTAATTACTCTGTGCATTCATATATTGTTTCTGGTTTCTGTTGCACTTTTGCAGGTGGAGAAGGAAAAGATTCATGACCATGAGCGCGCATATGCCTATGAGCACCTCAATCTTCTGCTGCATTACATTATGGGCATGAAAGTTAGCATGGAGGGCCTACAGCCCCAGGGACTGGAAGTAGCCGGACACAAACTGGTGGAACTCCAACAATCCCTCAAGGAACTCGAGGCCAGAGTCTCCCAGCTCAGCACCACCTCCTCTGGGCCTCCCGTGCAGGGAGCCGCCGCCGCCGCATCCTCATCATCTTCCAGCTCTGGACCTCCTGGTCCACCTGCTTCAGTTCCTCTACCTCCACCTCCCACTCTGCCTCCCACTCTCTCTGTGTCCACATCCTTCACGCCTCTGCCCAGCTCTGTGGGCGCAGCGCTGGAGCTCCAGCTTCACAGCGAGAAAACCAAGGTGGCCGAGCTCGGCCGCAGGTGCACGGAACTGGAAGTCAAAGCTGGCACGTTCGAAAATGTGGTGTGCGTCCTGAACAGAGAGGTGGAGAGGTTTGCCACCACCATGGAAGCCAGCAACCGTCAGCATAAACTGGACCAGGATAAGATCGAGGCTCTGAGCAACAAGGTAAGCTCGAGCCATGACTGCAGCATTCCTTGTTCTCTTGAGTTTTAACTCAGTCAAATCTGAACACACAAAAAATGGACTGTTCATTTTTAGATTCACCATTACTTTTTCTTCCGTATCGATGTAATCCAGAATCCTGGAGAGATCTTAGGTTGTGGTTGAATCTGTTTATTTGCATACAAAAAAAGGTGTGAATGGCTGATTTAAGGATAGGCGAGTCTAGCACACACAAAATACCTGCACAGATTTTACCCTTCCGGTGTGTAAAGGCTGCTACTTTGAGAAAACTTGTTGCCTGCCAATTTATAAAATCCTAGAAAACCCAGGAAAATGCTTGGAGATGCTTCAAAGTGATACTTTGTGATATCACTTTACAAAAGTGATACAAAAAATATTTGTAGTTTCTTCCTTAAAGGCAGAGTGATGTTGATCACCTTGAATTGATGCTAATATGAATTAGTCATTTGTAATGTCTGAGTATGTTTGTGAAACCAACCAAAACAACTGCACTTTTAGTTGGTTATTCTCTCAGCCGCAGTTCAGTCACTGCTGGAAAATATCCAATTTAATGAATATGTGTTTGTTTTCCAGGTGCGACAGCTAGAGCGGACTGTGGGGCTGAAGGACCTGACGGTCGCAGAGATGGAGGGACGGCTGAGAGAAATGTCCGCCACCACCTTTGACGGCGTCTTTATCTGGAGGATTTCAGATTTTGCCAAAAAGAGACAAGATGCCATCGCAGGCCGAGCCCCTGCCATGTTCTCGCCTGGTAACACTGCACATTATCACGGTGTTGATCCAAAATCATCAGCCTAGAATACCAGGAGCATGATCAGTGAACTTGTTTGAGAAGAGCAGCAATAGATGCCTGCAAAATTAAAATCGTTGAAAAAGTTATTACTAAATTACTAGAAACTGTTTAGATGTCTTGTGCGAATAATTATTTTCTTTCCTGTTCTCTTCCAGCCTTCTATACCAGCAAGTACGGCTATAAGATGTGCCTACGGATCTATCTTAATGGAGATGGGACAGGGCGTGGCAGCCACTTGTCCTTGTTCTTTGTGGTGATGAGGGGGCTGAGTGATGCCCTGCTTAAATGGCCCTTCAACCAGAAGGTAAAAGACTAAGAAACAAGCAGGCATTCAAGTATCCCCTTCTGGTTGTTGAGCAGTCTACTGTTTTTGTTGTTCTTATTTCTTTAAGGACCACAGTGAGGTTTGTTCTGCTGAAACTTGCCTATTTTATCCCAACAGTAATCTCTTACTTATTTGACTTCCAGGTTACGCTGATGCTGCTGGACCAGAGCAACAGAGAGCACATCATCGATGCCTTTCGACCTGATGTCACTTCCTCCTCCTTCCAGAGACCCGTGAGCGAGATGAACATCGCCAGCGGCTGTCCACTCTTCTGCCCGCTCTCTAAGCTCGATGGCAAGAACACTTACATTCGTGACGACACCATCTTCATCAAGGCGATTGTGGACCTCACCGGCCTCTAGACGACCTCCATTGGGTGTTACAGTTTGGCAACCAGGCAGCTCTTTGACCATTAAAGGCTTCATTTTGGCTCAGTCGCGGTCCCTTTCAGGGCGCCATTTGGGCACCTTGCTGTCCCCCGCAGCTTTGGGGAGACAGACATGCTTGCGACAGTCTGCTGCATGTAGCTGCTCAGACCAGACGATGCAGGCATTCTTATACCTTGGTGGTCTCTGTGTGAGAACCCTCCCCTCCGTCATTGCTGTACATTTGGGTGCAAAACTTACTTTCTTAACATCACAGCATCACCATCCACGGTGATAAAGTGCCATTTCGGTTCTGCACGCGAGTTTTCAGTTAGAGGAAGCAGGCAGCAGTGCGATGTAGTCAGAGCTGTGTTGAGCAGAAGCAGAGGGGAGTGAAAAGGTAGAACTGCGTCTTTGTTTTTCGTCCCCTGCTTTCGAAGGCTGGGGGATGTTGCAGAACATGCAGAGTGTGTTAGAGCAGGGCTGTAGATGTGTTTTATGTGATCACTCTGGTAAAGCTGGCAGTAGAATTATAATAGAGTTAGAGCGTGGCTTGATGCAGATTTTGCTTCCTCTTAAAGATTGTGGATATTGTGAGCGTCTCAGTTCCAGTGTGGAGTAAATTTGCATAGACAAACGTGGAGTTATGTTATGAATAAGATTACAGGCATTTCTTTTTATTTCTTCATTTCTTTTAAACAAAATGCATGCTGCTGGAGTTTTAAGTATAAAGTATAAAAATGCTCTTTTTTTGGGAGGGGGGGGGTTGTTTTGGTTTTTTCTTCAACTGAGCTTCACAAAGTTTCATCATTTGATATTAAACTTGTTAGTGATTTCTCCATCTGTGATGGTGGACATTGCCTGCATGTCTATGAAGCCAGGCTATTTACATGTAAAGTCAGTGTTGCGTATTTGTTCCTAATAAGGGGGTCGTGGTTCTGATTGGTGGTTTGGTACATCTGTGGAAGATACAGTGGAGTTACCAAGGAGTCAGGGCAGCTTGCCAGTCAAGCCTGAGGTGTAAAACTTACATGTGGTTTTGTCTCTGACAAACATACATCGCTGGAGTTTTTCCCAAGGATATGCTCACTAGCTCACATCTCAACACATAGTACCGTGCCCCACCACAGACTGAGGTCAACGCAGATTCCACGAAATGAAGGAATAGTATGTTCCTTGTTTTCTGTCCTTACAGTATACAGTGCGTATGTGTTTCTGCTGCTATATGATAGAATACTCATGTGAATTTAATATATATATATATATGTATAT